GCGCCTCTGCACCTCCTACTCAGTCTCAATGCTCTTCTTTCTTTCCTTCCAGTTGTAGAGCTTCCACTGGGCCAGCCTTCCCATGGTTCTGAATGTTAGCTGTTTGTCTTATAGTTGGTAGTTTCGATGTTGTTGTGGGAGGCAGCACGCACAGGTCCCTACCCTACGCCGCCATCTTGGTTCTCCTTCCTTTCTTGTATGCACATGATTTTGCAATCTGATGGTGAAAAACCTGGCTCCAACCATGTAGCATTTACTTATTTGTTGAAGTCCAGTGTAATGAAAAGCTATTTCAGAACTGCTAACTCATATGCTCACAAGACACAAATTTTCCAACTAGAGTATAGTGTTTATTTTTGTCATTAGCTTTATAGTTTCCAGTCAGAACGTTGTTTTCCAAAGTTAGTTAGGCCAGCTCATTCCCCTCACTCTTTCAGTGCAGTTCTGCCATAATTTGTCATGTAGGTAGATTCATTTGTCATGGTCCACATTTCATCTTGGAGTCTTCCAGCATCTTGTTGATGGTTTTGGTTGTTGTTTGGTCAGCATCCATTGAACACTTCACAGTTTTCTGTGGGTTCTGACAGAGTTCTGTTCCCACCACCTTAACCCTAGCACCTACAGGAGGGATCTGTACTCTAAATGTTCCCCTGTGTCCCCTTTGTAGTCTCAGCAAGTGCTAATCTGTTTTTTGTTGAATCCTTTTTTTATTTTGCACTTTCTTTAATTAAATTTTTAAGTGATTGATTTCAGAGAGAGAGAGAGAGAAACATCAGTTTGTTGTTCCACTTATTTAAGCATTCATTGGTAGCTTCTTGTATGTGCCCTGACCAGGTATTGAACCCGCAACCTTGGTGTATTGGGACGATGCTTTAACCAACTGAGCCACCTGGCCAGGCTTAATTTTGCATTTTCCAGAATGTTATATGAATAGAATGATATGAAAATCTTTGGATTTTACAAATGTTTTCTTTAACATAGTAAAATGCATTTAAGATTTATCTGTATTGTGTGAATTAATAGTTTATACTTTTTAAATTGTTAAAGAGTATTCCATTTTATGGATGAGTCATAATTTCTTTACCTTTCCCCCCATTTAAAGACATCTTGCTTACTTCTAGCTTTTAGCAATTATGAGTAAAGCTGCTATAAACATCCAAGTATGATAAGTAGTATCGCTACTTTTCTACTAAGTACTAATAAACCATAAATTCAATAAGTTAGTTACTTAATATTTCCCAAGAAGATTATTAAGTCTTTGGTCTCGTTTAGAGAATCTACAAAATCCATCTGTCCTTTGGTTCTAATTTTGTTTACTTTTGACAAACTGCATTTGCCACTGTGTGGTGTCTTGGAAGCTGATTCGTCATAGATCACTAATTATGGTTCTGGGGTTCTGTGAACTTATAAACGAAGTAATTTATGTGAGTGACATGATTACTGGGTTTTGACTTAAAATTAGATACATTAACATATTTTAGGGGATATGTTTTATAAAACAAAGAATATATTTTTCATTATTACTAATATATTGATCCCAGGAATTATGTGTGTGCATATTGTCAAGGTGGATTGATGTTTCAGGAAAGGAAAGGAGCGCCTCAATGAGTCTCCTCAGATGGTAGAGAGCAGTGCATGAAGCAAATGACAGTGTTAGTGAAATTACAGGGCTTCTAGGGATTAGATTGAGTGAGTGTGTCTCTGGTCCCTCCCTTGTTTTACGTAAGTGCCAGGGATACTAGTTTAGAGTGCCTGGGGCGTTGTTAGGGATGAAAAAGATTCATTGTAATCAAACAAACTGACAGCATAGCATGAAGAAATTTCAATCCTCCAGCCTTGCTTACAAGTTTAATTAGGCTTATTGAGGCAGAAAATGTTTTCTCTCCTTCCATTTTTTATGTTTCCCCATTCCCACTTTCTATCCCAAATTATCTTTGAAGGGGTCACACTACCAAAAAAAGGAGTCTTTTTAAAATAAATAACAATTGATTTGGTTTATTTGGCTTTAGGGAAATGAGCCATAGCAACAACAGAACTTTAAGATATTGGAGGACCTCCATTGTTGGCAGAGACACCACGCGTTTTTCTAAAAACTATACTTTATTCAGGAAGTTCTAACAAAGGTTAATATTTCTTGGCTCTATCATTGGGTCTTGAGCTGGTACTTGTTACCTTTGGGAGCTGGTTGGCTCGCTGGCTCAGACAATTGTGGGCTGAGTCGGTGCTGCCTTTCTCACGTCTGTACCTTTCACAGGGCCGTCCCCTCGCAGTGTCAGCCGGGCTGCAGCGGAGGTGGTGGGTTCTGGGTGGGAGGAGAGGTGGGGTTTCTATCCTCCCTCGTGCTCAGCAGTGCCACCAGCCACATGCCTTCCCAAGGATCCCACAGTGTGTGTGAAGGAAAAGCCTGGGACTGTCACGAGCGTGGCGCTTTGGTGAGGAGTTCATTCTCCTCTGCTCCATGGAAATGAACCTTCTGAGCTTTGACTTGCTGGCTGCTTTGTCCAGTGACCCAGGTAATGCAGAGCAGTCTTTGTTTCCTCTGTGGTGTGTGAAAGGCAGCAAAATGGTAGAAAAATAGCTTCAGGGAAAGGGATGTGCCTGTAACAGGAATACAATAAAAAAGAAAAAGGATATTTTTGCATTATTATTCTTACAATAGCTTTTAAGGTATCTTCATCTTTTAAAAAGCCTAATTTGACCTCCGAGAAGAAAATTGCTGGTTTTGAAAACCTGTGCTTTAATTGCTTAGCTTGAGAACAAAGGTTTCAATAACCAGCATTGCAGGGGTATTTTTTTTTTTATTCAATAGGAAGGGAAGCAACATCCTTCTTTTACGTTTTTAGAACTGAATTGGCATGGCTTCTCTTGAATCTTAGCTGGGGACTTTATTGTTCTGTAAATTGTGATTTAATTATCTGAAGCCTCAGGATGGTTTTTCCCTTTTACACCCAAGGGACACTGGATGGGATATTGGGGGTTGCAGGGAGGAATCTTCCAGTGGGGAAGGGAATGTTTTTACAAAGCAATCTTCATGATTGTTTCTTATTTGAAGTTAAATTGGAATATATAATCATTTGGAAAAGGCATCTAACACTCTTACCCATTTGAATTATTTTATTCTTTGCTCAGTTTGTGGTTATTTTGCTGTTGTCAGCTAAAATGATGGTTATAAATATGAAGAAGAAGCTGCCAATTATTATGTGATGGCATTGGTGGAATTGCTTTCTGCTTTTTTAAATTTTATTTTTCCATTCATCTCTGTGAATTCAGGAACAGAGGCATGAATGTGAAAAGTAGACATGGTATAAAATGCTGTGGGCTTTTTTACTTTCTCCTAAGGTGTTTTTCATGGTGGAAGTTATTTTCTTGTAGACAGAAAGACCCAAGATCATAGTTTCTGACACTAAAAGGTGTTTAGTGCTACAGACTTCTCTGCTTAGAAAAGATAGATCAAAAATATTTTCAGAACACTCTGAAGCTTCCAGTTAATTTATCTCTATCTTAGTGATAGGAGTTATAATATTTGCAACATTTTGAAAGCTGGTTGACCCCTCAGAATATTAACAATTAATGAATGCTTGTTTAGTTTCAGAGCAAAAATATTATTAAGGATAAAGATGGTCATTTTATGATGATAAAGGGGTTAGTAAAAAAAGAAATATAGCCCTGACCAGGTAGTTCACTTGGTTAGAGCATCAACCACGCCAAGATTGCAAGTTCAAGCCCCGTCAAGGCCCATGCAAGTGTCAGCCAGTGGTGTGAATGGGTGGGACAGCACATAGATCTCTCTCTCTCTCTCTCTCTCTCTCTCTCTCCCCTTCTTCTCCCTTTCCCTCCTTTCCTTTCTCCCTCCCTTTGTTTCTCTCTCCGACCCCCCCCCCCCCCGCTTCCTCTCTCTCTCTCTCAAAAAATAAAAAAATTTACAGTTCTTAACCTTTATGCACCTAATAGCAGAACTTCAAAATTCATGAAATAAAAACTGACATGACTGCAAGGACAAATAGACAAATCCTCAATCATTATCAGTGATTACAGTATCTCTTGATAGTTGAAAGTAGACAAAAATCGTCAAGGATATAGAATACTTAACAGTTGTCCAGTTTAATATTTGCAATTATAGAAAATTGCATTTATAGAAAATTTTAGCCAGCAACATAATAAACGTTATTTTAGCAAGTGCACATGGGATATTTATTAAGGTAGATCATATTCTGGGCGTTAAAATAAGTTTTGGTAAATTAAAAGGCTTAGCCCAGGCCAGTGTTTCTCATTGGTTAGAGTGTTGGTCCACGCACTGAAGGTTTGTAGGTTTGATTCCTGGTCATGTACCTGGGTTGCAGGTTCAGTCCCTGGCCCAGGATAGGGCGGGTACAGGAGGCAACCAGTCCATGTGTCTCTGTCACATAGATGTTTTTCTCTCTCCCCTCTTCCTTCCATTCCCCCCTCCCTCCCCGCCTCTCTCCCTTTTTCCTTCCCTTCTACTCTCTCTAAAAATCAATGGAAAATATCCTCGGGTAAGGATTAACAACAACAACAAAGAAAAATCTCTAGAAAATCCCCGGATATTTGGCAATTAACACAATTCTAAAGACTCCATAGATCAAAGTAGAAATAAAAAGGAAATGGGAAATTATTTTGTGCTGAATGAAAATGAAAACATAGCATATTAGAATTTGTGGTATGCCACTAAAGCATTACTTAGAAAGTTTTAGCATTAAGCACCTATTAGAAAAGAGGAAAGATCTAAAGTCAATGACATCAACTTTCATTTGAAGAAACTAGTAAAACGAGCAAATTGAAATCAAAGTAAGCAGAAGAAAAATATTAAAAATAAGAGTAGGAGTCAATGAAGTAGAGAAATATGAAAAAAACAAAACAAAAGCTGCTTTTGAGAATCCTATATAATAAAAGCCCAATATCCAAATTGTTCGACCGGGAGTTTGAACGGGAGTTCGACGCTCGCTATGATGTGTGCTGACCACCAGGGGGAGGCGCGGAACATGGCGGTGTTGGTAACGCAGTGCTGGCAGCGGGGGGCAGTGGAGGTGCTGCCGGCCCTGTTGGGCCCCGAGGAGAGCCGCGAGATGGTGGAGCAGGTGAGCGGGCAGCAGGTATGAGTGGGGGCCCGATTGCCCCTCTGATCGCCCCACAAATGGCGACCAGCGGCGGTGGCGGGGAGTGGGGCCACCACTCGGCTCTGAGGTGCTGAGGGAGCCGGGCAGGGGCCCAGCCCCGATCGATCACCCCGCAAGCGGGATGGTGGAGCAGGTGAGGGGGCAGCACCAGGCCTCGGCGGGGTGCCAGGTGGGGATGTGAGGCTGGGGATGTGAACCTTGGGGCGCAAGTTGGGGCCCAATCCTCACAGGCCACCCCGAGGGACCCCAGCTGTGCATGAATTTGTGCACCAGGCCTGTAGTATCAATAAAATTGTTAATCCTGTAACCAGGCTGGTCAAAAATAATAGAGAAGGTAAACATTACCAATTCAGAAGTAAAAGAAGTGGCGTCACTGCATGTACAGATATTAAGAGGACAATAAGGCACTATTATGAATAACTTTATGCCAATAAATTTAACAATTTAAATTGAAATATGGTTTGGAGTTTTATATGCAGAGGGATAGATAGAGAAACAATTGTAGATGCGTGTAAATTTCCAAGCTCTGTCTGCTGATAGGGCCTAGGAACAGCAATAGGATCCCCACATGTAAAAAAGTAAACTTCTGTCCATATCTCACACTCTACGAAAATTATTGAAAAATGTCTCATAGACTTAAAAGTAACATTGAATGTCATTAAACTTATAGGAGAAAACCACCCATCATCTCAATAACCAGCATTTTTATGAATATTTCCTGTCTTTGGTCAAGATAGAGATATATTTCTGCATTTGTATAAAGTAGACACATAGTGTATAGCGTTTCTTTATAAAAATTAAAGCATACTGGATATACTGTTTGGTAAATTTTTTAACTTAAAACATCAACATAATATTACATTATTAAATATTTCACTATAGCACCAGTTTTAAATTGTGTTGCATAGAATCCTAGGGGTTCAAATGAGGTCCCTTAGAGAGTAAAAGTGGGCAGGTGGGAGCTCTAGGTTCCTTATATGTCAGAGCTGCTTAACTTTTATTTTATATATTGAACTTCCAAATAAGATTTGAAAAAACAGACCTCTAAATAATTTTGATAGCTACGAAGTGCTTTGTGATATGGCTAATTAATTTAACAAGTTCACTTCTGTAAATATTTAGGCTAGGTACAGTTTTTCAGTATAATAATCAAAGTTGTAACAAAATATCCTTGTAACTCTAATTACGTGTTCTCTCTCAACTTCTGAGGATGAATTTATCTATAGCAAGGAAGCCACATGGGAGTTTGGACTAGAAGTAAAGAGTTTGTATGTGAACCGGGTCAGCAGAGAAGAGAGGACACACCAGTCCCCTGGACTAATCCGGGGATCTGTGCCTGTTCTCCAGGAGAGATGCAGCAAGAATCTGAAGGGGCTGTTTGGGGAGCAGACCTTTTGAGACAAATGTAATATCACTTTGATGCCAAGTAACAAAGTAGGGCACAGAATAGGTGAGAGAGACTCTATTTCTGTTCAAAGTAAAAAACAAAACAGGAATCCACGTGATAGCAGATAGAGGTATAGTCTTGTCAAACTGAATAAATACCAAAAGCTACAATGAATTCATATTTTCAAATGAATTGTATTTTATTCATCACATTTGGAGCAGAGCAAGCCTGGCTGTGAAGATGTGCTAGTTTTGCAGCATGGGCGTCGCGCTGGTGCATGCAGTGACTCAGTTCTCCCAGGTTGAACTTAGCTTCGCCCTGGCCATGTGGCTCAAGTGGTTGCAGCATCTCCCATGCACCAAAGGTTGCGGGTTTGACGGGAGGCTACCGATCGATCTTTCTCTCTCACATCAAAGTTTCTCTCTCTCTCTCTCTCTCTCTCTCTCTCTCTCTCTCTTTCTCTCTCAAAATCAATGGAAACATATCCTCGGGTAAGGATTAAATATAATAAAATGAACTTAAGTTTGTAAAGTAGTAATTCCCGATTCTGGGATGATCTAAGAGGAATTTCAACATAATTGACACACCTTCCCCCCAACTTACCAGATTCAGTGCTATGATGAGCCATTATTACTGATGAAAGTATACCCCAATTTTAATTTCTTGGTTTGGGGTCAAGAAAAGATCTTGTAGAAGAAAGTGTAAGATGGCATGCATATAACTAATGTTATCACCTTTTCCCTGACACCAGACATCTTTTTGTGGTGGTTTGAAAGTTTGGGATATTGAGATTTGGCAGCAGAAAGTGCGGATAGCTAAGAGGCATTGTTAATACTTGAGGCCAGAACCAAACTATTTGTGAAGAGATACCTCTTTACTTTAGTGTTATTTACAATAGCCAAGATCTGGAAATAGCCCAAGTGCCCATCAGTAGATAAGTGGATAAAAAATGCAGTGGTACATTTTCACAAGGGAATACTACATGAGCATAAAAAGATAGAAACCTTACCTTTTGCAACATTATGGATGGACCTGAAGATTATTATGCTCAGTGAAATAAGTCATTCAGAGAAAAACAAATACCATATGATCTCACTTCTATGTGGACAAATGAACAAACTGAGTAACACAGTAGAAACAGAGGCCTGGATACCTGGAACAGTCTGACAGCTGTCAGGGGAGGGGGGCGGGGCTGGGTGGAAGAAGGTGAAGGGATTAGCCAAGGAACATATTTGCATAACGCAGACAGACAACAGTGTGGTGACAGCCAAAGGGAAAGGGGGTGTGGGCCAAGTGGAGGTAGGCATGGGGGAGGAATGGGGACATCTGTAATATTGTCAACAGTGAAAATAAAAATATGACAATTTCTTTTCTGTAAAGTTTTTAAAAATTTATTTTTCATCTACAGATGGCATACAATCTTAGTTTTCGGTGAAAACTTCGTGATTAGGCATTTATATACCTTGTGAAGTGCTCACCCAAATAAGCCTAGTACTCATCTGCCCCCATGCAGTTATTACAATATTTTTTATTTAATCCCCTATGCTGTACCTTAGTACCTGTGATTATTTCTATAGCTGGCAATTTGTACTTAATTTTTTTCATCTATTTCCTTAACCCTCTCCCATCTAATGATCACTGTTTGTTGTCTGTATCAATTAGTTTGTTTCTGTTTTGTTTATTTTGATTTTTAGATTCCAGATATAAGTGAAATCAGATGGTACTTATCTTTCTCTGTCTGACTTATTTGACTTAGCATACTACCCTCTAGATCCGTCCATGTTGTTGCAAATGAAAGATTTTTTTTTTATGGCCTAATAATATTCCATTGTGTATATATGTACCACATCTTTACACATTTGTGTATGACATTTAGGTTCATATCTTGGCTCTACTATATAATATTGCAGTCAGCATAAAGGTACTTAAGTCTTTATGAATTAGTGTTTTGGATTTTTTCGGATAAATACCCAGAAGGGCCATTGCTGGGTCATGTGATAGTTCTGTTTTCGGTTTTATGAGGAGCCACTGTAATGGTTTCCATAGTGGCAGCACCAGTTTGCAGTTGCATGAGCAGTGCACAAGGGTTGCCTTTTCTCCACACCTTCAACATTAGTTGTTTTTTTAAAAATTTCTTTTATTGTTTAAAGTATTACATGTCTCCTTTTTCCCGATTAACTCCCCCCCACCACTACCACTCCCACCCCCGAGGGTCCTTTGGTTGATCTCTCACCCCCCTCCCCTTCCTTCTCTCTGAGGTTGGACAGTCTGTTCAGTGCTACCTTGTCTCTGGCTCTGTTTTTGTTCATCAGTTTATGTTGATCATTATATCCCACATTTGAGTGAGATAATGTGATATTTATCTTTCTCTGACTGGCTTATTTCACTTAGCATAATGCTCTCCAGTTCCATCCATTCTGTTGCAAATGGTAAAAGTTCCTTCTTTTTTCCGTAGCGTAGTATTCCATTGTGTAGATGTACCACAGTTTTTAATCCACTCATTGCTGATGGACACTTAGGCTGTTTCCAAATCTTAGCTATGGTGAATTGTGCTGCTATGAACATAGGGGTGCATATATATCCTTTCTGATTGTTGTTTCTGGTTTCTTGGGATATATTCCTAGAAGTGGGATCACTGGGTCAAATGGGAGTTCCATTTTTAGTTTTTTGAGGAAACTCCATAGTGTTCTCCACAGTGGCTGCACCAGTCTGCATTCCCACCAGCAGTGCACGAGGGTTCCCTTTTCTCTGCATCCTCGCCAGCAGTGTCATTTGTTGAATTGTTGATGGTAGCCATTCTGAGAGGTGTGAGATGGTACCTTATTGTTGTTTTGAAATGCATCTCTTGGATGATTAGTGCATGTTTGGATGATTTGAGCATGTTTTCATATGTCTCTTGGCTTTCTGAATGTCCTCTTTTGAAAAGTGTCTATTTAGGTCCTTAGCCCATGTTTTGATTGGATTGTTTATCTTCCTTTTGTTAAGTTGTATGAGTTCCCTGTAAATGTTGGAGATTAAACCCTTATCGGAGAGAACATTGGCAAATATGTTCTCCCATGCAGTGGGCTTTCTTGTTGTTTTGTTGATGGTTTCCTTTGCTGTGCAGAAGCTTTTTATTTTGATGTAGTCCCATTTGTTTATTTTCCCTTTAGTGTGCAGTGCCCTAGGAACTGTGTTGGTAAAGATATTGCTACAACATATCTATATATATTAAACCCTAATATGCAGATAGACAGAACAGTGGAACAACTGAACAATTGGTTGCTATGACGTGCGCTGACCATCAGAGGTCGCTTGTGGAACATGGCGGGTGTCAGCAGCAGGCGGCAGAGCGCAGAACATGGCAGGCATTGGCTGTGGCGGGATGGTGGAGCAGGTGAGCCAGGGCACCAGATCATGGCGGGGCGCTGGTCACTGTCATGGGGTGAGCCTCTGATGGTTACTGAAAATTCTTTGCTCCGGCACACCGCAGTCCCACCAGACACTCGCACCCGCTGCTGGTGCTGGAGCCCACCGCTTGCACCTGCTGACGGTGCCAGCACTGCTTGCACCCACTGTTGGCGCCAGCCCCAATCACTCCCGGTGCCAT